GTATATACAGATGGGCACACATGCACATAAAGCCACACACAGAACAACCACGCTCCATCCAGGATGACTCTCAGTGTCCTATAAATGCCTTCTTAAAATCTGCGCCCCAAGAGCGCATCACTCACCTCACCCTAGTCTGGACGCTGCTCAAGCCTGCTCTGGCACTTCCAGACCCATTCCTTGGGACAGGAAGCTTCTACAGGGACACCTGGTGGGTCCCCCGCAAGGGCCTCACGTTCCTGGCTTCCACTGCAGAAAGGTCTCTGGGCTTCCAAATCCTCTTCGGGAGCCCGCCCTACCCCTGAATTTCCCCGCACTCTGCCCGCTCAGTGTTCGGTCAAGGAAAGGAAGGTGTTAGCTGCAGGACCGACAGGCCGCCCAAAGCCACGAAGAGAGTAACCAAAGGGTGACTTGAACCCACGACGCCAGACGCCCAAGCAAGCACCCCCGAAGGTCCAGATATTCCGTTCTCAAATTCCTCTCCCAGTTAGGATGGCCCTCCCGTCCCCTCCCAACCTTGGTCCAGCTACCGGGAGGCGGCATTCATGATAACAGGGGCCTCCTGGGGCATCTCCCAGTCGCATCCCAGGGCCCTATTAGACACCAGCTGAGCAGTCAGTGTCCTGGCGAGAACTCAGGATAGGAGATCTGCTTCCAGTTCCAAATTAATAACCTCCCTGGCCCCGGGCGCCTCGGGGTGCTGGTGTGCTCCCACCCGCAGGGAGTGGAACTGATGTCGCTGCAGTGGCGAGTCCTCGCTCGACGCCCCGCTCCTTGCCTCTCCTGCGGGGGCCCCTCCGGGCCTGCGGGGGGCGCTGTGGGGGGCCGGGCCGCTCTGGCCGGCGGGCGGGCAGGGAGGCCGCCTCCATGGTGGTGCGCTGTCCAGCATTTCAGCAATCGGCGGCGGCGGCGGCGGCGGCGTCCGCGGGGAGACCGAGGGCGCGGGGCCGTGGGTGCCGCGGAGCTGCCCTGCCAAGCCGAGCGGAGGAGGAAGCCGGGACTAGCGGGGCCAGAGAGCCTGGCTTCAGCACCCGGCGGAGCGCGGCGGTCAGCGGGGAGGTGAGAGCCCCTAGTGGGGCGGGGGCATTTCCCAGATGGGCTGGGGCTGGGCTGAACCTCGGGGCCTCCACGGTCGGACAGGGGCTCAGAGTCCACAGGCCCCGGAGCAGAGGGTGGGTTGGGGTACGGCAAGAGTGTTTGATCCAGGGTGCGAGACACTGGGAAACAGATCAGGAACATTGTTCATTTCACTGAGAGGAATGGAGAAAGTGGGAACCCCGCGGGGTCCTGGGCAGGACTCCCTTGGGCATAAATGACCATGGCCTGGCCCACGAGGATGCTAGGGAGGCCCCCACATGCGGTCCAATTGCCCTCCCCCAACTGTGGAGAAGGAACAGCTCCCTAGGGAAGGGAGAGATCAATGCAGGGACCCCCATGGAGATGCTGGTCACTGGGAGGGGTGGAGGAAGCAAGCCCCCACCTGAATGCTGGGCTTCTGTCCAGCAGGGGGTGGCAGCATAGGGGACAGGCTGGCCCCTTTCCCAGCTGCCCAAATGCCCCTAGGGAGGCAGGCCTGGCAACGAGAACTGGGTCTCACACAGGATGGCATTTACTCTAACACTGGAAAGAGGATGGAGGGTACAGAAGAGAAAATAGCCACGAGGAATTTTGGGGGGTTCTCTGTGGCCTCCCTTGAACGCCTGGGGAGAGTTTCTGAAGCTCAGAGTGGGCCCGAGCTCAGAGCAAATTCCTGGTCTAAAGGAGAGATGAGAGAAGAGACGCAGCCTCTGCCTCTCATCCTCCTCCCCCTTCCTCTCAGGGCTCCTGCCAGGGCAGTGTTGAAGCCTCCTGCAGTTCCTGCTCCTGGCAGCAGGTCCATTGTGGGGATGGGTTTGGTGGGGAGCAAGAGTAGGGCACCCAGGTCTGACCTGCTACTTCAATGCCTGTGCTCTATCCCAGCTGTGACTTCTCACTCCCCAAAGACCTCACTCACTCACCCACTGCTGGCATCGGAGGGCCTGGGGCTGGCCTTTGGTCCTGTGTCAGGAGAAAGGGCAGGAACTTAGACGGAGAACAGGGCAGGGGCTGGAGACTTTCTTTGTGCATCTTAAGGTCGTGGCCCCAGCAGGTACCAAATTCTTCCCCAGCCAGAAATAGGACCAAGCTGGTTAGGAACTTGCTCCCACACATTACCAGCTTTTGGGCTCCTTAACTTTATGCCCCATCCCACTCTCCTGTGAGGGGTGGAGGAGGATTCTTGAAGGGTGAATAAAGACTTGACTGGATTTTAAGAGGTGGGGATAGGTGGGTAGGGTGTCATGGACTCTGAAGTCTGAGACACATGGGTTCAGATCTAAGCTGCATGACTTCAGGTAAGCCACTGACCCTTCCTGAGCCTGTTTCCCAATCTGTAAAACAGGTGTCATGTTAACAGCATCTACTTTGCTCTTCAAAGAAATAATCCAGATAATGGATGGGAGACGACTTTGGGGCTGGAAAATGCTGGGCTAGTGTTAGTCGATTGAAGGCAAGTAAGCATTTTTTAAGGAGGAGCTGGATAAAGGTGGGAAAGTTTTCAGCATTGTTTGAAGCACGTCTTTCTCTTCCCAGAGGAGGTGGACCTTGGCCAAGGGCCTCGTACCAGGCTCCGTGCTAGGCACGGTGCTGCAGATGACTCACTCAGTCCTCACAAAAGCTTCCCAAGGAAGCCATCGTTGTCCCTATTTTGCCGCTGAGAAATGAGACTGGAGTAACTTTCCCAAGGTCACGAAGCCACCCAAGCTGTCTTCCCTGGGGCAGAAGTGCAGCTGACGACCTGTCCCAGCCCCTTGATAACAAGGCCCAGTTAAATGCCAGTTTCTTGGTTCGTGATGCGGGCTTTCCAGGTGGGCAGCCTGAGGTGTATGAGTGAGGGTGTGCAGTGCAGTGAGGAGCTGACTCCCCCAAGGTCACTGGGATATTTGGAGGCGGAACGTGCTTTGAACTGGCCAGCTGGGTGCTCCCACCGCAACCTACCCTTGCCGCTGTCACGCCTGCCAGAGGGGGACTCTGGGTCGGGCAGGCCCATCTGCTCACTGCCGTGCCCACTTCTCACCTCCTCTGCCTGCCAACCTCTTGCTGACCTCAGCAAGCCAGTGACTGCCTGTTCCTTTCTGAGCGGTTAGCCCCCACCCCCTGAGACGGGGCCATGATCACAAGCCCTGGCAGCCCTGCTGGGGTCAGCCTCCCCTACTGGCTTTACTCTTCCTCTGCCCACTCCTCGCTGCCCCCGGGGGCACACTCAAGGCTCCTCCTGTCCCAGAAGCCATCAAGGGCTCTGCTGAGGAGATGAGGGGAGCCCACCCTCCCTTCCTTAACTCCCGCACACCCTCCGAGCCCCTGCCATGCACCTGTCACTTCACATACGTGACCTCATTTCCCCCTCACAAAACCTGGAGTCAAAGGTGTTTTCGCTCCTTTCACAGAGAAGCAAAACAGGGCCTGGAAGTGACGTGACTTTTCCAAGGTCACAGAGGAAGGTCTTGGTGCAGCCCACAGCCACTGCCGCAGGGACCCAGTGTGGCTTCCACAACACCACTCTGTCCTCAATTCCCCAGGCTCTCCTGGGTGAGGGTCAGCCAGGGCACTGTGGGCCGGCAGGAGGTGGGAGGAGGTGGGCGGGAGAGGTGGCTGAAGGACTCTGGGACAGAAGTCTGAGGACCTTCGACCTTCTTTCTGGGCCCATCTCCACCCCTGGCTCCTTGTGTGACCTTGAGCAGGTCCCTTCCTGTCTCTGGGCTTCAATGTCCTCAGCCATAAAATGATGGGGTTTGCTGGATGACCCCCTGCCAGCACCACGATTTTAAGATCTCTCTGCTCTATAAATGTGTATGTCGGGAAGCCTGTGGTTCTATCGGCAGAGGTAGAAGTCACCTCCAAGTGTTTCAGGGCTTGATTTATTAGTTGGAGCTGAGATTTAAAATTCACCTGTCCCTCCCATCTACAATCTTGGGGTCTTAACTAAAGGGGGAAAATATGGCTCAGAGAGGCCCAGTGGCTTGTGTGGAGACCCCAGATTCTTTCGCTGAGCCAGGATTTAGCCATCCTGGCCCAGGATTGGACGTGACCTGCAGGGACACTGAAGATGCCCTCCATACTCCTCCCAGAGTTGTTCACTAGACTCCAGGAGGCTCCCAGGACACAAGTGCCCAGGCCCCAAATCCAGGGAAGCAGCAGGGGTGTGGTGGTTGAGGCTTATTCATGGTGTCTTGGAGAGGGAGGGATTTTGCAGCTGATGCTCTAAAGAGCAGATGCAGGGTCCAGGAGAGGGAATGAGTTGGTCTGGTGACTAGTCTAGTCTGAGTGGGGAGGGGAGGTCAGGCAAGAAAGTTCCTTCTCAATTCTAACACCTACCTGTGTTAGGTGTGAAAGGGTGGGGGGCTCAGAGAGGAGGAAGGATCGGAGAGGGTAATCAGTGAGAGTGGGTTCAGAGAGGAAGGGGGGTGGTGGGTTGCTCTGTGAGGGGAGAGAGAGGTCAGTGAGGAGGCAGGAGCCCCGATGAGCAGAGGGGCTTATGACAGGGAGGGGCTCATCACCAACAGTTACAGACTCCAGGCTGGCCCAGCCTAGGTTCTCACTGTGGTTTAGTGCCTGCTGAGACCTCTGGGTTCTGCTCCTTCACCTTCTTCTGGGCACGGGAGGGTGACAGCTCCATCCCCAGAGGCCAAGCCCTGTTGACTCCATGTCACCCAGAATGGGGGCCTAGGGGACCGGGGCGGGTGAGCAGGTCCAGGCTGCCCAAGCTGACTCTCAGCCTGGGAGAAAGGCCACAGTGGCCATGGGTGTCTTAGGTCTAGAGCAGCTCCCAAGCCCCAGGGACACCCCTACCCCCAGCCAAATGCTGCCAGCCCATCCACCTGCGGGGCTGCTTCCTAGGCATTCAGCCTGGCCTCAGCCTCCTGCCACCCCCTCCCTGGCCTCTCGCCTAATGCAGAGGCTGCTGTGCCAGCTGAAGCTGGCAAGTAGGGCCACAGTTCCTTTAGCATCCTGCTGGGGTCTTTGAGGCCTATGAGGTGGTCTGGGCCCAACCAGACCCTGGGGTACAGGCAGCTTCCCGAGCCGGGGTGCTCTTGGCCTACCTATTTTATTTTTAGCTTTGAGCAGGGCCTGTGGCTCTGAGACCTGTCCCATACTGAGCTCCATCCCCACCACCATCCCCCAAAACTCCCCAGGTTGGAGACAGGTAAAAGCAAGTCTCACTGAATTCTTGTGATTCTAAGAATGGCACATCTTCCTTGCACAAGACTTGAGAAAATAGAGAAGCCAAGGAGAAAATAGAAATCATCTGTAGTCCCACCACCCAGAGGTAGCCACTGTGAACATGGGGGATATTTCTTCCAGGATTTTGTCCATGTGTTCATAGATACCTAGAGTTAAATAACTGGAAACACACTGTTGAGGGAAGCCGGCATCCTATTTTTCACTCTATCCTGAGAATTCTCTGATGTCTTCAAAGATTTTTCAAAAAGCTTGCTTTAATGGCCATTTGAAGGCTGGACACGGGTGGAACTGCTTCCCAAGGGAGCCGTGAGAGCTGGGAGAAGAACCTTGCCCTCCACCCTTCCTTCTTGGGTGGGGCACACACCTTTCGGGTCTTCTGGCTATGGGGGTTTCCCTTGGAGAGATGGCTTTGGGCCGTGTAACAGTCAGCCAGAGACTAAGGAGGGGAGGGCCAAAGCTGCTGGGGGAGGAGGAGCATGTGAGGGTCATACATCCCCTTGGATCCAAAAAGACCTCAGAAGAAAGCTTAGAACGGGGAATCAGGTGATTGCCAGTCTCCCGAGCTCTGATCTCATTTAGGTCCGAACCTCCACAGTCGGGTCTGTTTCCTCCCCTGTACAAGGGGCATAAGGATACCTGCCTCTAGATGTGTGATGAGAAGTGACTCGGGCCAGGATTAAATCCAGTGCGTTCCCCCCAGACATGGCAGCCATCTGAGTGTGAGACCACATGGTCAAGATCTACAGAGTGCCTCCTGTTTTCTGGTCCTGGTCTGAGCACTGAGGACCCAGGTGAGCCAG